GGGGAGAGCTTGTATGGGGCGGCGTGGTGTTCCAGGACCGTGAAGTTAGCAATCTCTACATCTTCCCAGGTATGAAGACTATGTGGACCAGCATTATAAGGAGTTCCTTAAGAACCAGGGCAAAGTGGATTCGGTAAGGCTCTCAGAGTTAGGCAGAATGCAGGAAGAGGCCAGAGGTCTCCTAGGTGGCTGAACTCTTGCCTAGCAAGTGTAAGGCCCTGGGTTCAGACCCCAGCACCACAAAAACAAGAAGAGTAAAAGCCAAATTCTTGAAGAGGTACTGGAGCTCTTCCCTTCTGCTCAGCTCATGTGTCTTATTGCTCCACAGCTGGTGGGTGTGGACGTAGTAGCTGCTTTGGACCTGTATGTGGAGCAGGGCCAGTGGGATAAGTGCATTGAAACAGCCACTAAGCAGGTACTGCTGTCTCCTTCCCATCTCTTGATCCCCTCCCTACTTCTGCGCAGCCCAGCTCTGAACTCTATTAGTGTGCCATCTGCAGAGGTCCCTAATGAACATCAGAGAGCAGTCTTCTATACTGATACTGTGTGATCAGAATTGTTCGTGCCTGTAAAATTTGTATGCACCAGTTTCAATTGTTGTATTAGAGGCTTGCTGCCTCCGTCTGCTAACCTAGGCCTAGTCCTGAAAGCTTCTAGCCTCTGTACAATCTAACCTAGGCCTAGAATGTTTTCAGCCTCTGAGACTTACTGCTTAATAAGCTCACCCTTTCTAGTTCTTTCTGAGCTCATTGCTGGCTAGTTCAACTCAGCGGTTCTGGCTCAAGCTCCTCTGCCAGCTGAGTTATTCAGTCTGACTTCTCTCTTAGCCCCTGAATTGCTCTGCTTGGCCTCGAACTAACTCCAGCAATCTGTCCTACTCTCCTGGCTCCTTCTCATTCTCTGGCTCTTTCTATCCTTACATGTGTCTTATTTCTTCTCTCATTCAACTTGTCTCTGTAAAACTCTCCCAGTAAAACTGCCTTCTCTCCCTCTCTGCATTACCCATTAATTACCCATTACCCTTTCCTCTTTCCTCGTTAGAGTTGGTCATATCCTATTCTGTCCATCTTTCTCTGATTTGTCAGACCTTTTCTGCCACTCAATTAGGCATCACTCTCAAACATGGATGCTTCCTTCTACAAACTTTATTGTTTGGGATTAAAGGCATATACCACCGCACCTGGACCTAAGCTTTTCTTTACCTAATATTTGCTCTATACCAGGCTAATCTTGAACTCAGATCTACTTGCCTCTGACTCCTGGGTTAAAGGCATATTTATTCCAGCTGGATCACACAGACCTAGAAGGTCTTTGGATGTGATCTCTTGCCAGAACAACCATGTTCTGAATTAAAATTCCTCTACATGTGCCCTTTGCCCCCTAAAATTCACAGCCTCTTGTCACTGCCTGTTCTTGCTGATCCCAGCCTTGACCATGCTTTTCTTCCACTCCCAAACAGAACTACAAGATTCTTCACAAGTATGTGGCTTTGTATGCAACTCATCTGATCCGAGAAGGTGGCTATGCCCAGGCACTTGCCCTCTATGTGCAACATGGAGCCCCTGCTAACCCACAGGTACCAGCATTCTGGGGATGAATGTTTCCACTAAGGAAGTCATTCTTCATCCTCTAGAACCATCCAACCTTTCAGTCCCCTCAAAAGGATCCTGTCCTGAAAGAGCCAAACCCAGAATCCTGTCCTGAAACACACAGGCTCCCTGGAGGGAGGCTTTACCCAAACAGCCAACGTGTTCTTAGTAAACACACAGACCTAGCTGTCCAAGAGAAATTGTGGGCCCCGTTTAAGGTGACGTTGTTCTCCTGTAAAGAATCCGAGCTCTCTAGACTCTAAACTGTTAACATTGTGGCTGTCCTCACATTTATATATTCACCCACGCTCACTGAATACCAGCTAGTATGATGAAATTTTGGTTTCTGTTGTGGGTTTTGTCTTTTTGTTGTTGTTTTTTGGTTTTTCGAGACAGGGTTTCTCTGTGTACCCTTGGCTGCCCTAGACTCAATTTGTAGACCAGGCTGGCCTCAAACTCACAGCAATCCACCTGCCTCCGCCTCCCTGAGTGCTGGGATGACAGGCGTGCACCACTGAGCCCAGGGGTTTTGTCTTTTTGTTTTTTGAGATAGCTCTCCTGCCGGCCAGGCCAGCCTAGAACTCACTATGGAACCTGGGATAACCTTGAAATCCTGGTCCTCCTGCCAAAATCATTTTCTTAATGCTCTTCCTTCTGCATCAGTCTCTTAGCTCACACACACAGCCCTCGCTTGTGTCCCCTTCCTCCCCGACCTCTAGAACTTCAACATCTACAAAAGGATCTTCACAGACATGGTTAGCTCTCCTGGGACCAACAATGCTGAGGCCTACCATAGCTGGGCTGATCTTCGGGATGTCCTCTTCAACCTGGTAAGGAAGAAGGGTCAACGGTGAAATGAAAGGGTTCCTTCTCCTGCCCCTGTCCTGGTCTCTTCTTTAGTGGACATACACCTTTACCTTCTCGGTCCAAAAAGCCAGCAGTGACCACACTACATCTCTCCCTGGCCTTCTTCTGACCCGAGCCTGGCTATGTGCTCTCTTTCCTAGTGTGAAAACCTGGTTAAGTCCAGCGAGGCAAACTCTGCGGCTCATGAAGAGTTTGAGATGATGCTGCTGATCGCCCATTACTATGCTACACGATCTGCAGCCCAGAGTATCAAACAGCTGGTAAGATGCAGCTGGGGAGACTGGCTGCAGAGCCCCCAGGCACAAGGATGCACCTTCAAACCTTTGAAGCTGAGCAGGTCCCAGTTCTGGGGCTTCCAGCTCAGGCTTAGAGCGCCACATTTCCTCTGTGCATCTCAGTCTTCACCCTTGCTGAGATGACGTTTCTTCCCACACTGCTCTGACCACAGGGCTCTGTGTTCACAGCCCTACCAGCCTCATGTTGAAATGCTCAGATATCATGAGGTTTTCTGTACCTCCTACAAAAAGTACACAGACTTTTGACTTATTTGGTTGTAAGTGTGTATACATTTCGTGCACTTGGTCACATTCTAGAAGTAGAAGGGTTCCTGTACATAATCTGGGCCCAGTTATTTTGTGCTGATGAAAAGAGTAGAATAGTCCAGGATCTAGAGCACTTCTGAACTGCTTGCTGGTTTTCTAGCTCCATGCTGCCATAGTTACAGGCTAATTGGTGTGGTCACTCAGCCACACAGGATCAGGATCATAAACTTGGCCTTTAATCCACAGGAAACCATAGCTGCCAGGCTTTCTGTGTCACTCTTGCGCCACACCCAGTTACTACCTGCAGACAAGGCCTTTTACGAAGCAGGCACTGCTGCCAAGGTACGCTGGGACAAGGGAAGGGTGGGGCTGAAGAAACAAGGAAATCTGAAGTGGGAAGATGGAGACTCCCTTGAGCAAAGCTGAGTCTAGGCCTGATGCTGAGGACAGTCCACTCTGTTGGAGTGTCCTGACTCCAAGAAGTACTCAGGCTCACAGCCATTTGCAACTTTTCTGTTATAGGAGGTTGGCTGGGAGAATATGGCTTTCATTTTCCTCAACCGGTTTTTGGATCTGACTGATGTAAGCAGGGAAATTGTCCGGAGATCGGGAGGTTTTGCCTGTCACAAGCTGTGCCTGTCTCATGGTTAACTGCTCTGCCACAGGCAATCGAAGAAGGGACTCTGGATGCCCTGGATCACTCAGATTTTCAGGACACAGACATTCCCTTTGAGGTGCCACTCCCAGCCAAGCAGCATGTCCCGGTAAGGGTGCAGGACTGGGGAAGGGAAAGGTGTCACCTGTGGGTTGGCCCAGAGAAGGGAGGATGGCTTTGGGTTGCTCTCTTTCAGTGACATCAGCCCTCACTATTACTCAGGGAAAGTAGAGGCAGTGGCTGTGGCCTTCACATCCAGGAGGGGCTGATGTATGGCTGAGGGCTGAAGAAGCCCTGTCCTCACCCCCTGTAAAGACAGTGCTACCCCTTTTCCAGGAGGCCCAGAGAGAAGAGGTTCGAGACTGGGTGCTCACAGTATCAATGGACCAGAGGCTGGAGCAGGTTCTGCCCCGGGATGAGCGAGGTGTCTATGAGGCTTCCCTAGTAGCCGCAAGCACTGGAGTCCGGGCCCTGCCCTGCCTCATTACAGGTACAGAACCCCACCTCGCCCCATCATCTTGTGGCAAGCAGAAAGGAGGGGAAAGTAGTGGCATCAAAACTTCATCTCAGAACCATCCCACTCTCTCCTCCCCGGTGGCTGTTATCCTTCCTATTCTCGCACAAACTCCATCATCTTTCCATCTTCCACCACAGGTTACCCCATTCTGAGGAACAAAATTGAATTTAAGCGGCCAGGGAAGGCTGCTAACAAAGACAACTGGAACAAGTTTCTTATGGCCATCAAGGTTAGAGAGGGAGTCATAAAGGGCAAAGAGAACAGCTGGGGGGAAGGGTGACTGCAGCAAGGAGGATTGCTTAAAAAAGGCCAGTGCAGACCCTGAGCCTGCTCCTCCTGCCACCCAGGAGCTGATGGTACCTGCACTGCTCTAAGGAGTGCCTCTTATGTTCTTCCCCCTTGCTCACAGACCTCCCACAGCCCAGTGTGCCAGGATGTGCTCAAATTCATCAGCCAGTGGTGTGGAGGGATCCCCAGCACCAGCTTTTCTTTTCAGTGACTGGTGCCACTGAGAAGTTTCAATCTGTCCCTCATTAAAGCTCTGTACGTAGTTGAGACTGCTGCATTCTTTGGTCAACTTCTCTTCAACCACAGCACTGTGCCCTTCACTCCAAAAGAAATTGTAATCAAACAGAAGACAAAAACAAGTTCTTTTAATACAACCATTTATACCACCCTAGGATCAAGGCCTCATGTGTAGCAGAAACACCCGTGGACTGCACCTCAGAAGAGCACCTGCCCAATAAAGAAAGCCAACCTGCATCAGAGAGCAAGCATACCAAAAAGCTAGCCCAATCCCCAAGAATGCATCCCACTCCGGGGCCTTTTACCTTTCCTAAACCCAGGTTTTCTGTGAGGCCTGGAGATCCTGATGGTGATGGAGCAGCTGAACATTTTCCTGCCTTTTACACTCAGGAGGTTCAAACTCTGTCAGTTCCTCCAGCTGCAAGAGACAGGGGATTCAGTAACTGGGCCTCAAATGACACCCCAGCTCCTTTTCAAGGCAACTCGGGTGTGTAATGAACCCTTCCTGTTCCTCTTCCTTACCTGTTCCTGCAACCCTTCCTTCCTGCAGGGCCCAATTCCCCGTAGGGTGAGTGCAGCCACACAACAGTAACCAGAAAGAGCAGCCTCCACTGCAGACATGAACAGAGAAGGGATCCAGAGAGCCAAGGCTGTATCCTAAAACCAAAAGGAACAAAGAGGATTAGGCCTTGGAATGAGGCAAAAGCAGTACACGGGGCAAAGGTGAGGACCGAAGTTTTGCGAACAAGAATAAACTCACATAAATTCTTGTGGGATCAAAAGGACAGTCAGTGTGTCCAGGCCCCTGGTCCAGCGGTATGGAAGGATCCAGCAGTCCTGGATGGCAATCAGCAATAAGACGGCGGCCACCATTGGCAACAGTGAGCGACACAGCAAGGAGGAGGCCCATGGAGCAGGCAGCAGACAAGAGCAGGTTCGCCAAGGCCAGCATCAGCAGGGCCCAGTGCTAGTAAGGTAGAAGACCTGGGTGAACAACCTGTTTGGGTTTCCCAGGGACATTTCAGTTTCTCTATCTGAGGCTCCTGCCACTGGAAGTCAGTTGAGACACCTCCTCCACCCCTCTCACCAGTCGTGGGCTAAGAAGATTCCTGGATGCCAAAAGGGCCACAAGTCCCACGGAAACGCTCTGCGAAAGAAATACGCCTATGGTTTACAGGCTCTTCCGTGCTCCGCCCAACCCACCTGCCCGTACACCCTCCAGCCACGCTCACCAGCAGTCCCGAGCCCACGGAGATGACATTGGCAGTGGTATACTCCGGCGTGACCGCCCCACGGGGGTTGGCCACATGCCGCAGGACAGTACCATGCAGCACAGCTCCCACCAGGAGGTTCACGTGGCCCACCAGGATCAGCGCGAGGCCCACGCGCATCAGCCGCCTGGGTCCCCGGTCGGCGTCTGCAGAGTAGGGGGAGGGGCGGGTGTTAGCCGTGCAGGGCGGGGCCGCAGGGCCAGCCGGGGGTGAGGAGCCACAGGTGAGGAGGTGAGCAGTGCAACTTACCGAAGGCGCAGAGGCGGCAGTACCTCATGGCGGCCGCCCTGCCCCCCTCCGCCGCCCCTCCGTCCGCCCTACCTGAACCCGGCCTAGCCCCGAAGCCGGGCTTCCGCGCCGCCGCAGGGCAGCTCTACCTGGACCCGCCCCCGACCTGAGGCCCGGCCTCCAAGGGGCCGCCCCACCTGCGCACGCCCCGCCCCGACCTGGAGAGCCACCCACTGAGCCGCAAACAACACGCGATGCTTTTAGCAAAAAGTAGACTTTATTACAGCAGCAACTGAGGCGATTCGAATGGCCCCCCGGGCCACCCCTGCAGCACCACCTTTCTCTCCTGCCCATCCGCCCCAGTGGGATTGTAGAACTCAGCTCCCCCAGTGCCCGTGGGCCTCCTGTCCACACAGGCAGGGCAGGAGCCAGCAGGTCAGCTACTAGACCCCAGCCAGAAGGTGGCTGCTGAGAAGGCCCAGGCCCACGTCTGTGCAAAACAAGTAAACAAAGTGCAGAGGGGAAGAAGAGAGGGGAAGGGACAGGATGATGCTCAACCAGGGAGCCCCTAAAGCCCTCCTGAATAATAAGGGGGAGAAGGGGCTTCACAGGGTAATACTGACTGGGGAGAAGGGCTGAGGACTGCAGCATGTCCAGGGACAGCCACAGCTCAGATAGGGGCCTGGCTCAGGTGAGCTCTATGAGGAGACGGTGACAGCAGCTGAGTTGAGGGTGCTGTTCCTGGCAAAATTGAACTTGTTGAGAGTCTCCTCCAGCAGAGAAGTCAGGCGGCTCTGGTCAGCCTGGGGAAGAAGCTCAGTGAGACAGGGCTGAGAGAAGGCAGAGAGGCAGCCAGGGCACGGAAGGCAGGAACCTCACCTCACTAATGAAGCCCAGCTGCACCAGCTCGGCTGCCAAGTCCGGGATGTTCTCATCTGACAGAAAAATAGGGATGTCTGAGTACAATATGGGAGACCCAGGAGCCCTTCGGAGAGCCCAGCTTCCGAAGCTCTCAGTCATTTTCCCTGTCCCTGGCATGTCTCTCAAAGGATGGGGGTCATAAACTCCCCTCCTCCAAACGAAAGGAGACCCTCACTTGGCATCAGGTCACAGCTCAGGTGCCGGTTCAGTTTGTCCTCCAGCTTCAGCAGAAGTGTTAGCTAGGGAAAAGGACAATGAGAACGAGGCTCCTCTCGCCCCCCTCCCCGGCCCTGAGCAGCCCTGGCCCCGGGCTTACATGGTGTTTGACTCCCTCCTCCACCGACTCAATGTTGCATTGCATCAGCACCACCTGGAACAGGACAGACACCAGCAGTGAAAGACCACGCCGAGAAGCCTTTCCAGCCCATGGAAGAACACAGTGGCCAGAGGGCAGAAGTGCATCCGTATAGGACAGTGCCTCAGTTGGGGTGCCTCTACCCTCTTGGCAACACACTCACACCACAGAGTCCCCACCTTGCGCGTCTCCACCTCAGCTGGCTCAGGAGTAGGAGTCTTAACGGAGGGGGGCACAACAGGTGATGTCACCTCTTCCTGCTGTGGCTGCTGAGGCCGAGGCAGCCCAAAGGCTGTCAGAGGATAGATCCCATTCCTGGTAGGAGATGACATAAGTCACTTGGACTCTGTGAAAGCCTCAGGGCACCTACTTCCTCACAGAAGCCTGCCTTCTCTCACCTGACGTCTTCAAGGAATTTGTCTAATTCCAGGGCTGGTGATTGAGAGTACCTGGAAGAAAAAGGGAACAGCATGAGACTGAGCGAGCATTCTACAGGGCCTAGGGGTATTAGTGACCAATCCACCCCTTTCAGGGGTCTCAGCTGGTTAACTCACAAAGTCTGAACTGGTTCTCGTCCTGGCCCTGCAGGGATTTCAGCTAGTACAGCACTGGTATCCATGTTTTTGGTGATCTCTTCCAGAGCGTTCTCTGGGATCATGTCTGGTGGGTGTAACGGGGTGGAACATTATGTAAAGACAAAATTGTTTCACACTAGGCAGAGAGGCACAGGGGTAACAGAAGACTAAAGAAACTATGACCATGCCAGTAATGGAAGCCCCATGAAAAAAAATTCCTGGTAATCTCTGTTCAGCATGGATTCAGTCCCAGGACAATTCCTAGTAGGGTCTGGGGACTCACGTTGGTGTCCCACAATACAGTGCGCAGCAAGAAGTTTGAGGGAGGGCACTTCAAACAGTGCTGGGTGGAACAGAAGCTCTCTAGCTGTTGGTCGTCGCGCAGGCTCAGACTGCAGGCACTTCTGAATAAACTCCTATAAAAGAGCAAGAAACTGCAGCAGGCATCTGGCAAGACTCCACAGCCATGTAACTTTCATTCCACTTAGCAAAATGTTTCCTACATTCTTGAAGTTCAATACTTGTAGGAGAATCATTGATGTATTTCCTGAAAGGGCTTTATTAAATATATATAGTAATAAATAAACTCATTCACTGTCTTTTTAAACATTTTGTTTTTCTAAGACAGAGTCTCCTTATGTAGCTTAACAAGGTTGTCTTTGAACTTATAATCCTCCATGGCTGGCTTTGGTATTACTTTTCTACTCTTCAACTACAACTTTTGGGGTTTTTTTTTTTGTTTTTGTAGACAGGGTCTGTGTAGCCCTCCTTGTCCTGGACTTACTTTGTACACCAGACTGGCTTTTTTTTTTAATGCTGGGACTTAGTATTTACTGTTTTTTTTTTTAATTTTTTTCTTTTGTTGTTGTTATATATGTGTTTGTTTTTATTTTATTAGCTCATTTGTGACCAACTTTTTTGGATCTTTGCCAAATTTAGTTTCTCCTTTCCCAGATTTAGCAAACTATTATAGTCAATCATATTTACCATCTTTTTTTGCTTCCCAAGCCCATTCTTAACTTCTGTTGTCTACTACAATCCCTGTCTTCACACTATTTCCCATGCTCTCTCTGACCATTCCACCTCCTTTCCTGCCTCCGGCCGAATCCCATGGCAGCATGCTTTCTAACTTAAAGTTTTAAAGGCCAAGAACGTCTCATACCTGATCTTTCACGTAATTTTCCCACCCTATTGAGAACTTGGTTCCACTCTTAACTTTTCACTAGACATCTGTTTCCTTCTTCCTCCCCATTACTGTTAACTGTCCCTTCCTTGTTTTGTTTTTGCAATAGGGTCTAATGAAGCCCAGGCTAGCCTATAACCCTCCATCTTCAACTCCTGATCCTCCTACCTCTACTTCCCAAGTGCTAGGATTATGAGTGTGTTCCTCCATGCCTGACCTGAGTTAACTGTTCTTATTCAGACTGTCCTGTCTCACTATAGCTAACCTACCTATTGATTCATAATTCTTTCACAATTCCTTTAAATCGTAGCTCATTAAATATAAAGCTCCAAATAACTAGGTTGATATTTAAATTTGCTTTGGAATGCCACAACATTATGTAAGAGTGTGTGGCAACTGACTGAGGTAACTATCCAATCTGCTCACCTCTACAGAGACACACCTAACTAGGACTGAACCCCTTAGGTTCTCACAGGAAAATTATAGTTTAGTCTTTTCTATTTTGATTTTATTCTTTTGCTGTTAGAACATATTCCCAAGAGGTACAATAAACCTGAAAGTGTCTGAGAATCAGTTGAGGGAAATTAATCTTACCCTCTGTAATGAGTCTTCTAGTAGCTGGATGGCACTGCTGATGGCTTCCTGTGGCACATATGAGGACTCTCCATTGCCCTGAATCTCTAGTACTGCCATCTGAGGTGGAAGAAACCCAAAGGAAAAATTGAGATCTAAGACACAAACCCTGTGCTCCCACAATCATTCCCCAAACCAGCATTTCCCATCCTGTGTTCTAGTTTTATACTTCTTCCTTTTCCCTTCCCTCAGATCTCCTCACCTCCAGTGCACACATGCCAAAGGAGTAGATGTCCACTGCTGTTGTCACATTAGTGACTTCTAGAGAAAACAGACAGTCAAATATGAGAATTGATTGGGGTTAAGAAGTGGCAAACATTCTTTAAAAAAAAAAAATGTATGCAAGTACAGAAACCTAAAGTTTTGGTAATTTATCCCTGTATCTCAGGTTATAAAGTATAAAACCAAGATCTGGAGTGGGCCTGGCAAAGGCTGCTGGGGTGGGAGATAGTCTTGGGGTGATCTGTCAGGGAGGGAATAGGTGGAGGAGAACACTCTAAAGGACTTTTTTTTTTTCTTCTCCCTAAGACAGGGTTTCTCTGTGTAGCCTTGGCTATACTGGACTCGCTTTGTAGACCAGGCTGGCCTCAAACACACAGAGATCCACCTGCCTCTGCCTCTGCCTCCCCTAGTGTTGGGATTACAGGAATGTGCCACCGTGCCTGGTTAGGACCCGTTTTTTTTTTTTTTTTTTTTCCCCCACACTTTATTTTAAGCAGAGTCTGAAAATGGGGCAGAAAGGCAAGGCTACCTCACCTCCATACTCTGGTGCAAAGAAGTGTAGGTTCTTCTGCTCTTCCCGGCAAGTCTTCACATGATTGTTGATAGTGTCAGGAGCCACTAGGAGCAGGGAGACACCCACAATCTGACCACCACCACCAAAGCATGATCTTACTCTAGAGAGTGTTTCCAAAAGCCATGTTTCTCCTGAAATCTTCTTTCTAATACTCAATAGACACAAACCTATCACTCTCCCAGTCCTGAGCTATAGACTGCATATGAACACACCTGCGTCTTCTTTCTGCAGCCTTACTGCTCTCATCTGAGGTCCCTAACTCAGGAACAACAAGGCCTATGCACTATACAAACAGACACTGAGAGCTTTAGGCTCATCAAGTAACACAAAGGAAAAACTTGTATTTGTGACCTGCTCATCTATTCAAAGACCAAAATATATCAAATGCACAGGCCCATGAAAATGCTAGGTTTTATTTCATTCATCTACCCTGCAACTAACATAAAAATATAGGCAGCCCTTCCTATATGGGACAACTGGAAACCTCAAGAACCTGGATGAGAAAGGCAAAGCAGCATTAACATACAACCAAGGAACAGGCCTCTTCCTTATCTGTGCTGACTGAAACTCAAAACCAAAAAACAAACAAAAAAAAAAAACCCCAAAAAACCTCAAAATCAATACTCTGAAATCAGTTTCACTTCTTAATCCACCAAAACTTTTTAGACCCTTCCGTAAAACCTTTTTCCTCAATACCACCTACCA